GACCAGTCTGGGCAACATGGTGAAACCCGATTTCAAAAAAAAAAAAAAAAAAAAATTACAATATCATACTACTTAAGATGAGATAAAGGTGAATTTGATCAGGTATGATAAGGTTGGGGCTCCCAAGAGGGACTAAGGTCAACAAGGGTGAAAAAATGGCACGACTTAGTCCTTAGTTGGTTTGCCCTAATATTTGTAGAATGGATGGATGGATGGATGGATGGGCATATGAATGGATAGAAGAATGGACATTCTGGGCCACAGGCTGGAGTGCAGCATTGCCAAAACACAAATCACTTGGCAACCTCTGCCTCCCGGTTCAAGAGATTCTCCTGCCTCAGCCCGAGAAGGACTACAGGACAGCACACACATGTTGTCGCAGGATAGAACGGACCAAGTAAACACAACCCAGGATGGTGTTGATTCTCCTGACCGCAATGCACACACATACAAAAGGCACACACACACCAAAGTGCCCGATGTGATTAACGTATGGAGCTGGCCGAAAGCACGCGGTGGCTCACAGCCTGTAATCCCAGCACTGTCTCGGGAGGCGAGACGGGCGCGGATCACAAGGTCAGGAGATCGAGACCCCATTCCTGCGAACAACGGTGAAGACCCGTCCCTCTACTAAAAAAAAAATACAAACAAACGTAGCCCGGGCGAGGTGGCGGGCGCCTGTAGTCCCAGCTACTCGGGAGGCTGAGGCAGGAGAATGGCGTAAACCCGGGAGGCAGAGCTCGCAGTGAGCTGAGATCCGGCCACTGCACTCCAGCCTGGGCAACAGAGCGAGACTCCGTCTCCAAAAAAAAAACAGTTGTGAGCCACCGTGCCCGGCCATGGGCCTCCTGTTTTCAGACCAGACTTCTTTCCTGGACTGAATTCATCTCAGGGGCTGTCCCTCAGCCTTGCGTGGGCAGCTCTGATCCACCTCCAGATCTTTCTGCTGAATCACGTCAAGAGTTAGATTAGGATACTGACTTTCCCCACCTCCACCCCCACCCCTAAAGGCCCCAGGGCCGCATACACAAATAGATTCACATCCTCTCCTCACTACTTTCTTTGCCAAGATCTCAGGCTATAGCACTTTAGAGCTTTCCAAAAGCTTCCCGTTACACCCTAATCCCAGAATGACCTCTAACTCACCTCACCTTTGCATAACTCAGAGGAAGTATTCAACAACAATCATAATAATATTCAGCCAGTGCTTGCTTTGGGCTCAGTGCTAAATCCTTCTCAGGAATTATCTTTTCATTTAAAAAGTTCATCTTAGGTGGTCTGAGGCCTGCAGACCTAGGAGGGTATGACATCTTAACAATTAAATCCCTGCCTTAACCAGCTGGCAGATCGTCATTTGGAGGTTTGTTCAGATTTACGTATACTGATTTAAAACATGAAACTAGACGCATGCCTGGACTAACACCGCCATCTGTGGGGTGGGGGTGGGGAACAAGGGTGGAAGCCTGTGATGCAAGAGCTGCAAGAAATCTGTTTGGGCCAGGTGTAGGGGGCCCATGCCTGTAATCCCAGCACTCTGGGAGGCCGAGGCGGGTGAATCACGAGGTGAGGAGATCGAGACCAACCCCGTCTCTACTAAAAATACAAAAAATTAGTCGGCGTGGTGGCAGGCGCCTGTAGTCCCACCTGCTTGTGAGGCTGAGGCAGGAGAATGGCGTGAACCCGGGAGGCGGAGCTTGCGGTGAACTGAGATCATGCCACTGCACTCCAGCCTGGGCGACAGAGCGAGACTCTGTTTCAAAATAATAATAACAATAATTTTAAAAAATCTCAAGGGCTGGGTGCAATGGTCCATGCCAGCAATCCCAGCACTCTTGGGAGGCGGATGGATTACTTGAGCTTAGGAGTTCAAGACCAGTCTGGGCAACATGGTGAAACCCGATTTCTACTAATAATACAAAAATTAGTCAGGCATGGTGGGACATGCCTGTAATCCCAGTTACTGGGGGGGTCTGAAGCACAACAATCACTTGAACCCAGGAGGTGGAGATTGCAGTGCGCCGAGATTGTGCCACTGCACGCCAGCCTGGCTGACAGAGTGCAACTCTGTCTCAGAAACAAACAAGAAAAAGCTTTTAAAAAAGAAATCTCACCAGGTGCGGTGGTTCACACCTGTAATCCCAGCACTTTGGGAGGCTGAGGTGGGCAGATCACCTGAAGTTGGGAATTGCAGACCAGCCTGATCAACATGGAGAAACCCCTGTCTCTACTAAAAAAACACAAAATTAGCCGGGTGTGGTGGTGCATGCTTGTAATCCCAGCTACTTGGGAGGTTGAGGCAGGAGAATCGCTTGAACCTGGGAGGCAGAGGTTGCAGTGAGCCAAGATCGCGCCATTGCATTCCAGCCTGGGCAACAAGAGCAAAACTCTCTCATAAATAAATAAATAGTAGAAATTGGGTGACTTCAAAGCCTGTGTCTTTCTGCTACCATAGGGAGAAGGGAGAACAAGACACCAGGAGGTCCTTTTTTTTTTTGAGACAAAGTCTTGCTCTGTCACCCAGGCTGAAGTGCAGTGGTGCCATCTCGGCTCACAGCAACCTCTACCTCCTGGGTTCAAGCAATTCTCTTGCCTCAGCCTCTCAAGTAGCTGGGATTACAGGTGTGCGCCACCATGCCCAGCTAATTTTTGTATTTTTAGTAGAGATGGGGTTTTGCCATGTTGTCCAGGCTGGTCTTGAACTCCTGACCTCTGGTGATCCACTCGCCTCAGCCTCACAAAGTGCTGGGATTACAAGTGTGAGCCACCGTGCCCCGCCAGGAGGTCCTTTTTGACATTGGTTCCATCTCATCTTCTGCCATGGCCCTGTGCTCACTGCCTATTCATAGAGCCCCACAGACCCACTTTGCCCCCACCATTAAAGTCTTCTGTCCTGTAGACTCCTAATTGCTGTCACCTTTTAAACATAAACTCAGTTAAGAGACTAGACCATTGGCCTGGGGGGAAAGAAAAAGAGAAAGCAAATTGGGCAACTGCTATGTGCTGAGCAGCCCAATCACTGCGCCCAGCAGGGGGTCTCCCATACCTCCTCTCATTAATGACCACAAAGACCCCCTAAATCTCCCGGCTCATGCCCAGGCTGGTCTCCAACTCCTGAGCTCAAGCGATTCGCTCACCTCAGCCTCACAAAGTGGTAGGATTATAGGCGTGAGCCACTGTGCCTGGCCACCACAATCAATTTTAGAATATTTTCATCACCCCTAGAATAAACCCCATACCCGTTAGCGGTCACTCATTTCCCCCAACCTTGCCCGGCCCCTAGTAACCATTAATCTAATTTTTATTTCGATGAATTTGCCTATTCTGGATATTTCATATAAATGGAATCATCCAGTATGTGATCTTTTGTGTCTGGCTTCTTTCATTCAGCATGATTTTTTGTTTGTTTTTTTGTTTTGTTTTGCTTTTTTTGAGATGGAGTCTCACT